GGCATTTGTAAGTTATAATATGCTCCTTACATATAAGCAATATCTTATCAACATCGGACTACTATATCATATAGCTACCATTGGAAAAATCTGTCTAAAATTAAGTGCTTGTCTGAAAAACTTTTTTGTTTATCATGATATCTTGACCAGCCCCAGCATTTACTATTTAAACTATGTTGCTTATATATGTGCCAAGTGTTACCAAGATCGCACTACTATATTATGTACCTCTATAGGAAGAATCGGTCGAAAAATTAGATATTACTTATTCATACATGTCAAAATAGTATGTTTTTACGAGCTTCACTATTCTCACATATCTGCAAAGGGGAGATGTCTACAAGGGTATAAAATGGTCGGCGTAAAATGAAGTAACTGTTGTTCTAGAAATTTGAGTCTACTTCACATATATAGATTATTTTTAGACGTCAGCAGAACTCTAATACTAAAAAATAAAAAATGTATTTTATTTTATTAAAAACAGCTCAGCTGGGTTTCTTTTTGCGAACATTTGGTCACACGTGGAATACATTGAATATTGTTTGAATAATTGTGAATGCACGTTGCAACGAATTTATTTGATTTGTTAGTTTGGTTTGCTTAAGTGTTTTGTCATTACACGTGCAACGTGTGAGGAATGCAATTTATTGTTTATATTGCAAAAGAAAACCCCATTTCTGGAGCACTTAAGGGTTGGCACCGCATACAAAGTAAAACTTAAAGCTGAGTGTTGTGTGTTTGGAGGCTGAAGGCTGTTAATTAAATTCACTCTGGGGGAGGGGAAGGTTGGCTGTGGGCTGGCTTTGTCTCAATTTGCACGCAAATTGACCAAAGCATTTTTAAAATAAATTAATATATCAATATACAAAGTGTATTGAGTGCATTTTCAATCAAATTGAACAGAGATCTCCCGCTGTGCCCTGCCAGACACAACAAGCAGCTACAAATTGACATGTTTCGAGGCGCCATATCGTATGTACGAGCGAGATCCTATATATGTATATAATATCGAATGTAAAAAGAAAATTCTCAAACGAAAATCAGTTAAAACGTGTACCGCATAATGGTCGAGGGGCGGACAGGAGCAGGAGGAGGAGGAGGAGGAGCGGCTGCCAGCCTTTTCAATGAACTCACGGCGCGTCGAGTTGTTGTTGTTGTTGTCGTTGTCGCATGCAACAAATTGTTTCAATTAACTAAATTAAATTTACACTCCTGCAGCTTCACGCACAACAACAAAAACAACAACAACAACAACAACAACAACAACAATACATTGGACATATTGAATGCATTTTGCTGAACGTGACATGACACTGACAGATAGAAAAAGAAGAGCTGAAGCGGAGCTGTGCAAATGTCCCACACCGAAAATGAAATCCGAGATACTCTGGAGGCAAATGAAAATGGCAAACATGTTGTTGCATTCGCAAAATGCCACGAAGCATATACGGAAAATACATCCATGACATGGAAATTTATAAAAATTAACTGCCAAGTATATATATATATGTGTGTGGAACACAATTTGGGATGGAGAAAACGAGGATGTGCACTGAGAGAAATAAAAGCAAGCGGAAGGTATAAATGAAATGCGCATAAAAATATATGATAATTATTTATGGGAAATAAACAGCTGAAAATGATGAAAGATATGAATTATAAGTATATAATTGAAATTCGAGGAATATTAAAAAAATTATTTGTTGCAGGCATATTAAATTCTTGCCATAAAAATAAATTAAATATTGCATAACAAAATTAGTACTGCAATATTTCTTAAATGAAAATGAAAAAATGTTAAATTAAATAATATTTACTCAGTAAAAAAAAACAAAAAAAATATGTGTACTAAAATGGTTATAAAGTGAAAATAACAAAAACACAAATAACATAAATGGAATAAAGAGTACAAATATCTTTAATTATTAAAATATATATATGTATACGCTCGAGCTATTTCCCGGCCCTGGCCGTGGCAAGCTCTGTGCTTAAAATGTGATCCCAAACTGTCTAAGTAAACACACTTCTATAACCACATTTGTCTTACATTTAAGTATTTATATTTATTGTCCAAATATGGTCTTACATTTCTCTCAGTGCACGCGCTACAATGTATCGACACGGCAACATTGTTCGTCAATATCAATTATGCGTTCAAATGAATATTGAAGTGTAGCCGCATGCCAGCCCATTTCAATGTGCGCCCCCACCACAGCAACAACAACAGGCTTTCAGCCGAAAACAACACCACAAAGCCACCGCGTTGCCATCAGCCAAGCAACCACCCACACAGTCGGGCAGGCACTCGAATGGTTGGCCTGGGCAGTGGCAACAGGACAGCTCATCAGATGCAGCAGCGGGCAGCAGCAGCAGCAGAGCTGGCGAAAAATTGGCAATTGTACAAAAGTGTTAACACGGCGCCGCATCCTGCAGACTGACCACAGAACAGGCTGGCCGAGCCGCCAGCCCGGCAGCCGCCTTGGACACATCCATCAATGCCAACAGATTTAATCGCCATTTAAATTGTACGAGTTCGAGTTTTCGGAGTTGGGCGTGTGTGTGTGTGTGTGTGTGTGTGTGTGTGTTCTGTGTGCTGCATTTACTTAAGCGTGTTATCAGCGTAAAATAAATCTCTATAGAATGGTCAGACAGCTGTCGGAGCGACCAGACCGACCGACCGCCCGACCGCCCGCCCGTTCGACTAGCCTATCTGTTTAGTGTTTTCCAATCAGAGCCCCGGGGCCGGCAGATTGGTCACGTGTCGCCTGGTGGCCAGTGGCTAGTGGTCAGCGGCGAGTGTGACGTGCGTCACATAATTGCAATAAATTAGAAATTGTCACAGGCCGGCAACAATGTTGCCCCCCGTGCATGCCATTCATTCCCTTGCCCCAGCTCAGTTAAATCTGTGCCGGCAAACCGAATATCGTTTGTTTTTGGCTCGCGCTCTACATAAATTTACATTTGCGCATGGCTAAATTTTGGTTAAGTTTACCTGGCGAACATGGCTCAAATTAATAATTGATCTTGGAGCGGCAGAAATTAATGTAGCATGGTCCAGGAAGCGCACACAATTAAGACGCAGCGCTGTGTGGAGCTGGGGAGAGGGGGCTACCGAGAGAGATAAATTAATTCGAAATGCAAGCAGGACTCTGAAGGAAGTTATAAAAATCAAATTTTACGATTTTCCTGGAAATGCACGCGGCTGGAAATTATTTGAATAGACAAGACAATGCGCATAACTTTCGGCTTAACTGATTTTCAGTTGTATGTTGTGTGCCACGCCTCTACGCCCACAATGAAACAGGATGCGCATACAATTGAGGCGCGGCCATAACAGTAAAAACCAATTGCCCATCATTAGTTTTTATAACACAAGACATTTTTCGTTGACTTTCGATTCCTGCGCCTTGTATATTTTCCTTTTTCTTTTTTTTTTTTTGCGTATCGCAGCCTGCCTGGCATGGCTTTCCTCCCAGTGGAAATTCATTTTCACTTGTCCCAGGACGACATAAAAGCGAGCCCAAGTCAATCACAGCTCTGAAATTTGGTCAAAACGGAAATGTGTCGCAGTCGCAACGTAATTGTGGGTGGACACGGCACAAAATTGGATGTCGAAAAGTTATGTTGCCCTAGGAGTTGCCTCTGTCCGTGAGGGTGCTCCATATATCCAGTAACTGCGTCATTTATTTACAGGTCTTGCACATGGCTTCAAATCCAACAAATGTTTTCGATTATTCGGTTAACGATTCGACCCAATGCCTCACTTTTAGGTAGTAGTTTTTCACATCTGTAAATCCAGTTTTCGGAAAACTGAATATATTGCGGTACATAAGACTCATATTCATTTTTCTTGACAGATTCTTCCTATAGAACTACATAATTTAGTCGTGCAATCTTGATAGGACTTGCACATATGGTATATGCAGCATAGTTTTAATATTAAATGCTACGTTTGATCAAGGTATCTTGATAAACCAGAAAGTTGTTCATACAAGAACCAAATTATAAGCGGATCGGTCTATGTAGCTATATAGCTATAGCTATATATACTGGTCCGATATTGATAAGACGTTTCATATATTTAGGGAGCATAGTGAAACCTATAAATACCAAGTTTGCTCAAGATATCTTCATAAACAAAAAAATTGATCATACAAGAACCTACTTTCCGACCGATCCTTCATATGGCAGCTATATAATATAATGGTCCCATCTGGCTTGTTCCAGAAAATGTACTGCCTGCAACTGAAAGACTGTTCTAAGTAATGTTTCAAGAAGATAGCCTTAAAACTAAGAGACTACTTCGTATAAAAAAGATCAAATGGCTATATCAACTTGTCTGTTGATGCTGATCTAGAATATATTTACTTTATGGGGTTGGAGATGTCTCCTTCTATGCGTTACACATTTCATAACAAAATTATCCTACGCAAGAGTATAATCAGTTTGGGATCAACAGTTCTTTGCGCAACTGATCCAGTTTAAGTTTTGATTAACGGTTTATAATAAAAAGCTGAAGTTCTGGGTTCGGTTCAAGCCCGGGTTGCAGCGTTGATTTGCATAATGGCCTGCTTTATATGTGAATTAAAATTAGCTAAACTCATCCTTAGTAAATCTCTTGTGATTTACTAGCTCTGATCTAGCAAACTGATCTGTAATTTCCAGTTAGTGTTAAAATTCAGTGCCTTACATTTTATTAAAATTATTAATTTGTAAGATATTAAATTAAATTTTATTACAAAATTGTAAATACACACTATTTAAATTTGAAAATAATTTGAACAAGAAATTCAAATTTTAACTGTTATCAAAGTTTAAAGGCCAGCTTTCCTTATTGCGATGCTACTCACACGCGATAGTATCGATAAGTATCGAAACTTCGTATTGTACGTTCCAATTTGGAACTTCTTGCTGCCTTCCACACGTGAGCTGATCCGTAAGCTCGATCAGAATGTAATTTTCATATAAACAAGACAATATCAATAAAAAGTTGTGTGAAAATGGAAATTTGCCGTGCTTGCATGAGCGACTCCGTGACCCTGGTGGATATATTTTGCGATCGGCCATTACCTGATTATGAATATAGCCTGGCGGAGATGCTAAACGAGCTCGTGGACTTTAAGGTGAAGCGCGATGATAAGCTGCCGCAGAAGATATGCGTATCTTGCGGCTTAAATGCCCAAATCGCGTTTAGATTCCGGCGCAGATTCGAGCAAAGCCATCGACTGCTCTGCATGAAGGCTATGGAAGACGAGAACGTTTTCGTCCATGTGCTGGAAGCAGATCCGAACGCAGGCCAGTTGAAGCAGAAGCTGCAGCCCTCAATGCCAGCGATCAACGAGAAATCCAACTCTAAGCTGGGGAGTGCTCGTAAATTACGCAAGGGAAGACTTCAGAGCACCGAGGAGCTCATCACCAGCATCAGCAGCAGAAGCGTATCGCGTGAAAAAGACGGCAATGTTATAGTAGTTATCCCGGACATAGACTCTTTCAACGGAATGGATCAGGCGGATCGATCATGCACTATAGTGGACAATGCTGACGCTTGTAAACCTCATCGCTATCCCCTACGCCATAGAATCTGCAGCCAGAACGCGCCCAAATCGGTTGAGATTCCTCTTCTGCCCCGTCCCATGCGCAGCAGGATGCGCCAGTTCAAGTGTGATTCGTGCCATCTATCGTTTGCCTCAATAGAAAATCTAAGTAAACACAAGCTGCAGCATGAAGGCAAACGTAACTTTAAGTGTCTAAATTGCATGAAGGCCTATCGCAAGAAATCAAAACTTCTGAGACATATACAGACGCATATTAAAGAGCATCCGAACATGTGTCCACAGTGCTCGAGGACCTTCGGATGCAGATCGAAGCTTCGGAGACATCTCTACTCCCACAGTGAGGAGCGTCCGTTCATCTGTCCCCATTGCCAATCGGCGTTCAAGAATCCATGGAATCTTAGAAGACACGTACTCAATCATTCTAAAAAGAAAACGTACAAGTGCTCCGCTTGTAAAAAAAGTTTTGCCAACAAATGGAATTTGAAATTACATTCTTGTTTGCCCCAAAGTTGCTTGCGCAAATGAAAATCACAATACAAATTGATTTATGCAGACGAATGAGGACTCTCCTTTTAACCAATTTTTACAAATTATCAACTTCTCAAAATAAGTTATTTAGTTTTAGGTATTTTGATTCTATTAAGATTTTACAATTGAATTTTGTATTATTTATTCGTTATGAAATTTATACTTAACTATTGTTCATTATTATGAATTTTTACTATAATAGTTAAAATGTTAATTAAATACTAGAATTTATATATTGTATATAACGTAAATGTAAGGTAGGCTGCAAACCGGTTTTGCACCGAACCGGTTCGAGCCCGAAATTCCATTTTATTTTTTGATATTTACCAAACTGAAGTAAACCAAAATAAAATTCAAAAAATTTGAGCAAGACTCAGCCCCAAATTAGAAATAATTTGGGTTTATTTTCAGCAGTTTTGTTAGTTGCTTATCTTATAAATATAAGACTTTATTTCAGTAAAACAATATTTCTAAAAGAACGGGCTATGATAAATTGATAACTTAACTGTTTTATGAACATTTTGGAAATATATGACAGAACAAGATTTAAGATTTGAACCGTAAAAAGAACAACATAATATTATATTTGGGGTTGCCAGCAAATGTTAAGGTTAGACTAAATATCGGAATACGTATAAACTATATTATATACCGATTTTCTAAGATAAAAGCAAAACCAAACCATCATTCCGATCAAATTCCCCGAATTTGAAAGACAAAGATATTCTTACTCAAATTATATACTAGCAAAACTAAAGATTTAAAAGTGTGTAAAATATTCATTAGCTTTCAGAAAACGTAAAGCTTTTCGAAATTGGCAAAGAGGTTCTCGAGCAATGAGTTTTTTCGCTAAATTGGGCCCATATTAATCAGAAAAAGTAGTGTAATTAGTTGTGATATATACATATATATTTTAAGGGAACGGAATCGAATGTAACAACTAAGTATGAACACTTTAGTTGGACAAAACATTAAAATATCCTAACAGTTATCAAAATATATAAATGACTATCAATCAAAATCGAGGCATAGACAAAATGAGATTTGCGGAACCAAGGTCTGATATTATACATTTCGTCATGCTAGGCTGGCGGCCTGCGAGCACCCTTTCGGCTAGCGTGAGCTGGTCTGGTGTCACATGTCAATTTGTGGAAAACCCAACGGATTGGGGTATGTGCTGGAAGACAGCTTTCTTGACAGGCAGCGCTCCTGGCAATGGAGTGCAACGCCCAATGTGTTAAACCTATCCATTAATATTAATAGTCGTTTGCCGCGGTTAGCGTGGTGCGTGTTGTACGTGACTTTTTCGTAACCCTTTCCCAATCGAAATATATCTTTGGCAAGCTTCTTAGCGGCTGGTAACCTTATCGTTTGATTTGTAGACATTTTATTGCTTTATTGATGCATTTTTATCAAAAGCGCAGCATATTGTTTGATGGATTGTTCGGCTCGTTGGGTCTGCCTTTGCCCCTGCCTCTGACCTACCTGAGGCTTACACCCGGGGGAAATCGTCAGCAATTTTATGCTGGTAGACCACCGCACAGCGCACGCAATTTGCCTTGGGAAAGTTTTCTTTTGTCAAAATTCTTATTTTGATTGGCACTTGGGAGAAAGGGTGAGAAAACAAAACGATACGTTGTTTATGGGAAAGTATAAACAGCAAAGGAGCGAAGTCTTAAAGACACGCAAAGATATTTTGAAAATTATAATAAGAACAAGTAGTAGATGCATATTGAACAATAATTTATTATATTGGGTAAATAAATTGACCTGGATATTGCTAAAAAAAATATATATATTTTGAACTGCACTTAAATTTTATGGTTTTTTTTTAAATATTCGAGACCATGTACAAATTATGCATAGTAAAATCCCCGAGTAAGCTCTGTGGCTCAAGCCACTAATAAATTACTAATGCTCACCTCCCAGCAAACTTTGCGCAAAATATTAAATTTTACGAGCTTAATTTGTGTGCGTGCTTAGCTTAAGGGTGAGCCTGATGCGTCCCCCAAATTGTTGTTGCCCTGGACAACAAGAAGAGAAGCAGCTCCGTAAACAATGTCAATTACAGCGATTGAAAAGTGGCCAGAAAACTTGCTGTACTTGTGCAGATCGCATAAACCAATTTTATTGAAGCACAACCAAAAAGCCGACGACGCCATCGAACTAATCTCCTTAACAAGGCGAGTATTAGAGCAACTGGCAGACGTGTAGGTCCTTGTCTATGTTGGGTCTATTCATATTTCAAAAGGCAACTTTGCGCGACTCGAAAATGGCATCATTAAAGTTTACGACGCTTGTGCGCCGTAAAGCATGCCAAGCTGTTTTGTAATAAAGGGTATTTCGCCGACATTTCGACATGAATTTTGAAATGCCCGCCACTTGGTGTTGTGGCCATTGTTTTTTGGGGCAACCCAAAGCCCAGGCCCAGACATGCACAAGTGCAGAATGCAAAAGCCCCAGTCCCCTACTAGCCTGGCCATAGATCTTATGTATGTGCCTGGTGTAAAATCAACAAAAGTCATCAAAAGATACGCGCCAGCTTTAGTCGCCGCATTCCTGGCTGAAAACTTTGCATATTAAATGTCATTTGGTAAAGTGGAATTAAGGAAGCGCCCGCTACAGGAAATGCTGTCATGGCTCGGGAGCTGTCACAGCAAATTATGCTGAAATGCGTCTGTCAAGGATGTGCGGATGTGGATGCGGATGCGTGCGGGTTGCACATTTGCACATTATGGTGGGGGCATGCATTGAGCCATAAATGAAAACTAAACAAGATTTTCGCAAAGAGCGCATTGCTTGCTGCAAATTTTATGAGCTAATTTTAATGAAGTTGCTGAAAGATGCCAAAAATTTGATGAATGTCGACACGAAACAGACAAGTTTATAAATTATGCCAAAGAAGTTAAGACTACGCCAACAAGGAGCACGAAATAAGAGATATATATGTATGTATATATTAGCATGCATGCCAGATAGACAGACAGTCAACAAGTTATATGATTACAAATTCTCTAATTATAACATTTGTACTACCACTGCAAATACTCTCACTATCTAAGAAAGTTAATACTATTCAGATACAAGAAGCTAGACAGAATATTTACAAATTATCTAATTACAATATGCATACTTTCATTATATATACCCTCTCCATCTATAATAGTCTGAAAGTTAATACTATTCGGATACAAGAAGCAGGATAGAAACATTTAGAAGTTCTCTAATTATACATATTACTAATTCTTTATATATACCTTCTCCATCTAAAATACTCCTTTCAGATACAAGGAACTAAATAGCAAAATTTACATATTCTTTCGCTATATATATCCTCTCCCTCGCTATAAATGAATCTGTGTAAATCATTCTGGATTTTGATACTTAAATATTCTCAACTCAAAGAATGGACCTTTGTCACGGTTGTTATTGACCACACACCTTATAAGAACTAATTAGAGTCATCATTAGCGGCTACTTTGCAGTGCTGTGAAATTGTTTAGAAAACGTTCCAGATTTCATGCTCCATTAAATGAATCATTCCAAGTACAATTTCAATAACTGCAATAGAAAAAAGATCAGTTGGAATCTAATTAAATTAAAATTCAAAAACTCCATTGTATATCTACCCAAGTAGCGAGATGAGCTGCCTACGCAGCAAACAGTACCAAATGATGGGGAGAGCTCCCTGCTCAGTGATTGCTAATAGATTGGGCTCAAAATTGGGAATCGGCATCGGTTGCTTAGAAGCGTGACGATTTCCATTTGATGTTGAGCCGTGTCTAGAGAGTGTCAAATCAACATCATTATTCATTATCAAATAAATTATTGGGTTTGTGGTAGACCGATGCCGAATCACAGTTGGAGGAACACCATCGTACCGCATTTGGGATATACGTATAATTGAACTTTTCATAAGTGGATGTTTCTATGTCTGCTCTGTGAAGGGGGTTAATATGTTTTAACAAAGCAATCAATATCGAAGGGATAATTAAATAAAACTAATGATGCCACTGACAGTGTGCACGGGGTTAATGACGTACATCAGCTTGTATTAGAACTAAGGTTATGCTTTCTTATCGCTAAAATGAATAAGTATATCTCACATGTTACCAAGCAAAAGTTATTTTTCTAGTTTACAGATATAAAGTGATGCTATGTGTGCTACTCCTTGAGTTCACTCACGCGCACTCATGCACTTTCCGCTTGTTTCAGACAGGTTTTTATGTAGCGTAACTAAATGTTAATTTATAGCCAAATGCTCAACTTTCTCCGTTGGCCTTAAGGCCTTTTGCGTGAGTCCGCCCAGTTCAGGAATTAAAAAGAAATTAACACGATTCCAAAAAATTTGGAGTGTCTTCGTGGGTGCGTCCGTCCCTCTGTTTGCCTGTGTGTGCGTGCGTGTGTGTGTGTAGCCAAGTGAATTTTACAGCGCCGTCAATGGCCAACTCGCAGTCTTTTATCTAATTGAGTTTATATTCTTTTGGCTTCGCATCGGCTGGTTTGTCTTAATGTTAATGCGCTCGTAAAACATGCGCAAAAATTGAAAGCAATAAAACGCCGGCGGGCAAACATTGAAAATTAAAATAAACACATTAAACGAGATGAGTTGCAGGCGATAACAAGTCTAGGCTGCCAAAATACACACATGCATTGCCCCAGCCACCAGCTGATCCGCGACACAATAAATCAAACGAAGCGTAAAGCTTGTTTTATACTTGAGCTTATAATTTACATCTTATATTACATATGCACAAGTCCTGTAATCAACAAATTTTAATGGCTTCGGCGTGAAAATTGTGTTTAAACTTTTTATGAGCTTAGTTTTAAATATTAATTAAAGCCGTTTATCGATATTACTTTGGGGCCGAAAGCGATACATGTTAATAACATTTATCTTACAGAAAGTATCGATTTACGCGATCGCTGCCAATAAGAATGTCGCCGTATACATACTAAATTTGGCAATCACAGCGAAACGTGGACAAGCTTGCGAAAATTTTATTTTCATAGTGAAGTGTTAAGTGCCGAGTTCCAATTGTGAAATATGCTACAAATAAGCATAAATGCGCGTAATAAAACATTTTATAATTTAAGCGATCATTTTCTGAGCTCACCAGACGCCAATAAGCCGTGTTCCATACCAGTGCACGTGAGTATATTATGCATTTTAACTTTGCCATTATACTGATTCGACAAAACTGCTCGAGCGTCAAGAAAAAATATGTTTGTACATAACTACGAGAATTATGTAATATCAAGAAACACTTAGCAGTAAATGAAAAATTATATGCTTGTTGACAACAGGACACGCAGACACACAGCCAGCACTTGGACTCGGGCGGCAAACTAAGACACATATGAGCAGGCCATAAATTAGCCCGCATGCAGGCATCAGGTGGGTACACAATGATTGCAGGACACCAAACAGACAGACAGATGGGCCTGGGGTTGGAGGATGTGTCCCCCCAGTCGAGTAGTTTTCGCTGGGTAGGTGGTAAAAAATGCGTACGCCCGCCACTCACAAACTAGCACGACAGTAGCGGGGGCGCCGGTAACGGCAGTTGCTGTCAAGTCATAAAACAAAGTGCTGTTGTGTCTACAAATGATTTGGCTTATTCGTGCAGAACAAATCGTACGTCATTTGTTGGGCCACTAAAAAGTTAAAACGCTTCCCAACTCTGCCTCCTCCTCCTCCTCCTCCTCCTCCTCCTCCTCCTCCTCCTCCTCCTCCTCCTCCTCCTCACAGCCTGCCTGCGCGCACATATCTATCTGTGAACAATTGCGCAATTAATGTTGCTGCACAGCGAGAATTATGTGCGTGACAGCCCACAGACAAGACGACGTCACTGATAGAGCCATAAAAGGTTGGCTTCAATATCCAATTCCCTGGCTTCCGTGCCATTTTACGGCTTTACACATGTGCCATATTGCTGCCCCTGCCCCCGCCCCCGTCCCCACTTTTGGCCATGTCTGTTTATGAGCCGCACAGACAGCGCCTAAGTCGCTGCTGTCGTCATATCTGCTCCCTCCCGTTCGGTCGCAGCAGTCGTCATCGCTTTGCCAAATGAAATCATAAATTTATAATTAATTTGCATATGCATTTCTTCGCTTTTCACGAATTTACCATGCCAAATTGGCATCATGGCTCAATTTTAATGGCCTTTTGCTGGCATATAGAAATTAAAATTAATTTACGAGCTCAAACTAATGAGCGCTTTTGTAGGCGTAATATGTGGTTCCTTGTTTGTCTCTAATATCATTAAAATTTTTGCATCAATTTACAGAATTTATGGGCATTTTATATTCATTTTAAGTGTGCTCCAAAATAGTTTTCATTAATATTTTAATGGGTGTGAGTATATCCCAATATAATATGTTGGTATGTATTGCATTTGTATACTCGGATGTTTTGCCACTGCAAACTGATATATTTCTCATCACAGGACTCGCAGATAGACAGACTCCTGTCATAAACAAATGACAGTCGTCGCTTGTTTCGCCAAAAATCAACAACAAAACACGTCAGCGGCGCAGCTCAAGCTGAAGCACTTTTATTGTTTTTATTAATTTTAATGTTTGCACAACCTGCGTGCAATTTTGGAGCTGAATTGAATTGAATTTCGAGTGGCTAACGCCGAGAGAAGGAGAGAGAGAGAGCGGCAGCTAAACAGCTACTAAAATGCTACGTCTGGGCCGCACGATAAAGCCAGAAGCCAATGAAGCTAAGTGCGGTTATGAACCCTTTTCGCATTTGACTGAAACAACAAAAGGGCCAACAATGGGTGGCAAATGGAATTGAAGTTGCACAAGGCGATGGAAATGGCGCTGAAGCTGGTTGGCATTTACCTAATGGAGGTGGCAAGCTTTAAGAATTTAAGCGGTAGTTCAATAAACCCGCAGGCCAAACAATGGCCATGGCCAGGACTATGCAATTGTCCAATTGATGCGCGACAAACATGCAAAGTGCTTAAACAACAAAGGAACTACAATGTGCGGCAATTAAAATGCATACAAAATTATTTTATTATTAGAAGTAATGCTAAATAACGACAATTGTCGCTACAAATGCAACTGCAACCCTCCAGCGATGCTGCCCGCATGTCGTGTCGGAAATGGGACATATTTCGATCCGGAATAGATGCGTATATCCCCGGTACAGTTGTGCCACCTGAACACAGGCCTCAACAGTGCACAGTCTCTTGTCAGCGAGTACCTGTATCAATGTCAGGCCCTGAAACGACGTCCTCGCAACCAATACCCAAAACCCAGCAGCCCAACATATGTGCCTGCTCTAGGAGGGGGCGGTTAACTAATGTGTGTCTGTCCGCCCGTCCGTCTGGCTGTCTGTCTGTCCTGCGCGCAGCCATGTAATTTGTTATCCAACAATTTATAATTGCATCAAAATATACACGCACCACATGCCAAGCTGAGGCTAAGCTGAGACGACTATTTCGAAAAATTATTATGAAAGCAAACATGCTTCTATTTTCTGGGACGACTCTCGACTTGTGCCCGCAATGGACAGCCCTCGCGGCCCCCCCTTCTTGCAACTGTCCAATACAATTTTATGCTATGCTTAACATTTTGTACATTTTTCGGTTTGCCCATGTTGTGGTTGGCCTTGTTGTTGGTCTTGTTATTTCTGCTGGTTCTAATTTAATTTTGGACTGACTTGTTGGTGTTGGTTTTCACTTTTAGTTGATTTATGAATTTTTAAATCAATTTGACAACTAGCTCGAAAGTCAAAGTGCACATTAGAAATAAAAGTTGTTGGGGGCGGACTGGACATAAACTTTTTCGATTTTAAGAGTTATCAAGCTAAAGCCAATTTTTGATATTATTTTGTACATTCGAACATTTCTGAGGTTAAATGTATCCCATGGTCAGCTCGTCGAAAAATTGGCAAAAATTGTGCTGCAACTGTTTCTGTTTGTTATGCTTTTTGACGTTTACACGTTTTGACAGGCATTAAGAATCTATTTAAAATGCACCCCTAGCTTTTTTATAGTTTTTTTTTAATTTTTGCTCAATGACGAATTCCCAAATAAGAAACACAAAACAATTCACTTAACTCCGGAACTTAGGCGCTACTTAAAAATTTGAAATCAAATTGAAAAGCGAGCATCAAATAATTTCAAGGCGTGACGAAACATGTTGAAATGTACAACTTGGTACCCGCCGCCTCTGATCGACAGCAACTTGTGCGGAAACCCGCGGCCGGGACGCGTGTGTCTCTCTGGCTGGTGTACACGTTTTTCTACTCGCTGCGCTGGCGGCTGTCGTTTTTTTCTTTCTTTTTTGTTTGACGTATTACTCAATGGACGTTGAATGGGGAGTGGGTGTGGGAGCGACATGCCTTTGGCTATGCCTGCCACAACTAGCCCACCCCCCGGCTCAGACGGCGACGTCATCAATCTAAAAAATGTTGAAAAATCTCAGTGGCTGTTGCAGTGGCATGAGACACGGGATGAACAAGCGACGGCGGCGGCTCGACAGGCTGCATAGTTGGTAGTTGGTATTTTAAAATGCATGTTAAATGTCCATGCCTTTCGCTTTTCAACTGGATTTTGATAGAGTGGCGGCGCTTCGAAGCATTTCATGGGAAAGTGTTATAATTCAAATGATTCGGGCAGACATTGTAATTGATTTTTATACGTTGGGCGTAGGGTATGCAGCTCAAAATTATTTTTCTTTGTCGATAAATCCCAAAGTTAATAAACTAATATACGAGATTTGATGCGGCTGAGATTGACGGAACGTGCGGAAGGCGACTTTTTAAACGGTCTCAGCTAGGATATGCATAAAGCTAAGGTAAGCAGTAAGTAAATTAATAATTTTAATTATTCTATTTAATTAAATCTACTTTATTTTAGATTATCAATGGAAATAAAGTCAACAATAGAAATATAACCTTAACTCTTCCAGTCGTTGGCTCCGTTTACTTCGCCCAGCAAAACTAATTACAAAACAGAACCACAAAGCAAGGATTCCGTTTCACCAAAATGATTTTGCTGGAACCAAAAACTGAATCCAGCAGTCAACAGCCAGGAGTAAACGCTGCTTTTGTCAATGCAGATACAACAACAACGACAACCGGGAAAAGGCAAAGGCAACTGCCAAACCAACAAAACCACTCGACATGTCAACTGAAATAGAAATGGAGACGCAAATTTACGGAGTCAGAGACTGAGTCCAACTTTTTGGCATTGCTCCTGGAGTGACATGAAAAGGACATGTCACACCGTATGCGCACATTAAGTGTAGCCACAATTTATCAAGCCGCATAAATCTAAATAGAGTCTGGGAGAGTTGGCAGTCGCCTGAATTTGACTTTGGCATGGGCGCATCAAAAAGTCAAAAAGCTAATTTGCATTTAAAAGGACAGCAAAGGCAACGGAACGGACCAACAATGATGCTGACGTAGCCGCCATCGCAACCAACCATCGCCTGGCCATGCATGCAAAATATTTTAAGCAATATTTTCAATTTAATAAGCCAAGATAAATGAAGGGCAACAGCAGAGAAGTGGACCACAGGCGGGAAAAGAGCAAAAATATATAAATTTTGCAATGTAGATTTAAGCACACTCTGACTTGGCATATGTGTCCC